GCTTCAATGCCTTTTTCTTGATAGCTTTTTGTGTGTACACTGCGCATGGATTCTTGGTGAACAAAATGTCATCTGTCAAAACAGGATTGTCCACACAGAGCTGCAGCAATGTCTTCTGGACATGTGCCCTTTGCAGCTCCACACTCACAACCCCAGATTGGTCAACAAAGTGCACAAAGGCAGCTGTTGGCTCGCATCTTTCTGCCAATGCAGCTTTGCTCTTCTTCCATTCCTTTAAATTTGCAAATTCCACTTCAATGTTCTCCACAGGACCAAAGATGGGCTGGTGACTGAAGTTAAAGGTGGTGTCAGTTGTGCCCACCAATGTCCACACTTTGCTCCCATGTTGTTTGGTGCATGCATACCTTACAGCAAACAAACACAAACACACAATGTTTAACACCCACTTTTTGCAAGCAAAGCTTAATTTGGACAAGCAGCTGTGCATTTTTCTGCATATGAGGGTTTTGCAGGAAAGCAATTTCAGCAGGCTTGCTTTTCAATACATCCTTGACATCCAAATCAATCTCAGTGACCTTGCTCTTCTCCTTGGAAGGAGGGCACTTGGCATCCTTCTTCAGTGTCAATTCCTTTGTGAATGCTTCGCAAATTGCCTTTGTGCTCTCCCAGCCCTGGGGCTCTCTTCCCCATTTTTCCTTCTCCAATACATGAAGCACCAATCTCACACATAATTTACCAAAGGCTTTCACTTGGATACCCTCTTCTGATTTGGAACTTTGCATTAGCTCCCATGAGTCTGACAAGATCTGCCTGCAAGTGCAGTGGAAGCAGGACAAACCTAACAAACTTTTTGTTGCAAATAGTGAAGCAGAAAAAACTTGCAAACAAGCTGCTCACATTGTTCCACTTCCTTCTTCAATGTTTTTGATTTCAACCTCTCACAATCTGCTTTGGTCAAGAGCTTGGAGTACCCATCTTGGGCTTTGTTGCTGGACATCATTGTGCACCACCTCAAATGTGAAGCAACCACTATTTCATTGCTATCTTTCTTTTACACGAGCAGAAGCCTCTATAGAAGAGTTTGGAGAACATTGTGGACATATGCTTAACCAAGCCAAGCAACATTGCAGCCCTCAGAAAGGTGAACATGGAGGTGGAGTCCTTCAGCTCGAGGAAAGCAATACCCTTCATCATATCTTCTCCAAGCAGCAATGTTCCATAGGTCTTGCCTCAAGCAATGAAAGCCATGCAGCCAAGCAGGCTTGCTAAGTGCCAAAGCTAGCCTTGCAGTGCAGGCTTGCAACAGAAGGGCTAGCCATGGAGGCTTGCAACACTAGCCACTGAAGGCTTGCAACACTAGCCACTGCAGCCTTCAACACCCAAAACATCCAACAGGTTCAAGCCAAGCTGCTGAATTGCGCCAGGAAGTCAATAATGTTCTGGTTTTCACCTGCATACTTGGAGACATAGTACGCAATTGCTTCCAATGACCTTTTGCACACTGGGTCACATTCTTCAACCCTTGCCAAAGCATCTGGCAATGCAAGGCCATGTTTCAGGAACTGGCACATTTGGCTGGCAGCTTCAATCTCTGTCATTTGTTGGTAGGAGTTGTTCACCACATTCAATGCAGATTGAATATAGCTGGGCAGCTCAGGCCATTGGATCTCCACTGCACTGCGCATCACAAAAAATGGCCAACCACTAGTGCAAAGAGCTTGCAAGCCAGGGTCTTGCTTCATATCAATTGCGGTGGCCTCTTCCAAACCTGGCTTCACTCCCTGCTCCACTGCCTTGCAAAATGCAGCAGTGTGGGATGTGGCAACAGTAAGGAATCTCTCTTGGAAATTCACACTAGCCAGTGTGTTGTTGGAGGCCTTGACAAGCTTCACATTGGCAGCCACCTGCTGTTCTCTCATGGTCTTGTCAGTGGCCAGCTCAAAGGCTACAGCACCTTCATTGAGGAGTTGAGGTGCCACTCCAACCTTCAGCATTCTCAAGCCCTTTTCCCACACATCAGTTGCATTCAGCATGCTTCCTCCCTTATTGCTAGGGTGGGTCAGTGTTTCCTTTGGCAAAACAGTCTGGTGGTATCCATAGCCATTGACCTTCAAGGTATGAAAGATCTTGTCTACTTTCTGCAGTATGGGAAAACTGTCATCATCTATGATGGAGTTCACTTCATCAACCACTCCAGGTGCGATGCCAGCCATGGCAGTGGCAATGGGTGCACAGATGGAAAGCCAATAGCAATGCAACACTTACTGTAGAAATTGACATGGCTTGCTCAATGACCATGTTTTTGCCTCTGCTTGAACATGGGCTGTGTGCACAGTTGACCAGGCATTGTTGTCCAACATGTCCACATACACGCAGAGAGCAGCCACCATGGGCTTACAATGAGCAACCACTATGGGCTTGCACTAAGCAGCCACCACATGTGTCAGCCACAAAGGCTTGTGTGTCGCAGAAAGCCACAAAGGCTTGCAACAATGAAATGGCTAGCCATGTAGAGGCTGGCAATGTTAGCCATGCAGGCTTGCAAACACAGGAAGCCATAAAGGCTAGTAGCCATGAAGGCTCTCAACATTTCAGGCAAAGAGGTTTTCAGTTTAAAATAGAAAAAGCAGCAATAAAAGTTTCCAAATCAGTACTTTTGTTTCATTTTGTGAATATAAATCATCAATGAATAATGATCCGATTGTCGATAAAAATGTAGTTTTCAAAAGCCATAGCTAAAGGTGGCAAAAGTTGCTAACCCTCTAAAACTTTTAACATAATTAAGTAGACTTAGCTAAAAGTTATAACTTTTAGCTAAAGGTCTTAAATATGTTAGTTGTCTAGCAGTGCTTTAACATAATACTAACATATTTCTAACTGCCTCTTAACATATATTTACTAGACAAGGTTAAACATGTTAAACCACTAGTAAGGACCCAGCCCATCCAAGCAATAGGCGGCGTCAGGGAGGTATGCGGTGTCAGACAGGAACGCGGCGTCAAGGAATGCGGCGTCAATAGGCGGCGTCAGGGGGGTATGCGACGTCAGACCGGAACGCGGCGTCAGGGAATGCGGCGTCAATATAGGCGGCGTCAGGGGGGTATGTGGCGCCAGACCGGAACGCGGCATCAAGGAATGCGGCGTCAACAGCCGGCGTCAGGGGGGTATGCGCTGTCAGACCAGGAAGCGGCGTCAGGGAATGCGGCGTCAGTGGGGAAAGGAGCGTCGGCGCCAACGAGTTCCCAACACCGCGGCAATAAACGGAGGCAGCGTCAGGCGCAAAAGCGCCCCCACATGGGCGGCCGCCCTGCAAACAAATGCTTAAACATCTTAAACAACTTTAAACATGGACCTGGATTTGTGACACTCCGGGACTGCGGCAATAAGAGGAGCAAGTCTCTGGCCAAATGCAAGACGAAGATGCTGTGGATGAGGCAAGGGTTGTTCCTTCGTTCAAACCACTCGCACTATGTTGCTGGGAAGGTTCCGGTCACCAGATATATCTCCCGGGAGCTCAGCTATGATCTAGTGGAATGTGATTCTAGAAACACCTTCCCTGAGATGTTTGCTTTCCAAGATAGGCTCCCAAACGAATGCTGACTCGCCCTGATATGACAAAATCCCAATAGACTTGATAATGAAGGACAAGATCTGATGAGACTTTCCTCGACATAGACAGTATGGTTGTCTTCGCAAGAATGATTTGGGAGGGAACCTCTTTAGAACCGCTGCGGCCCCCCACGTTAACCCACTCAAACCGAACAGAACCAGCGAAGTTCCTTCTCTTGGCGGTAGGGATGTCCACCTACGACGTCCATGATGGACCTGTGTCAAAAGACTACAAAGGAGGAACAGCAAAGAGGGAGGAACTGCAAAGTATATACCGACCCTTGGTGCTCATGTTTCATTGAAACAAAGTAGACCCCTGAAATGTGGACACCTAGTTCAGAATGCTACAGTACTTTCTTGTACTTTCAAAAACATGTCTCAAGCTAACTAGCTATTTCTTGAGACAACAGGCAAGTGAAACAAAATCCATTGGCTCCGCATTTTTGTTAGCACCTGGGACGATTTTGATGCCCGTGTCAACCAACGGCCATCCTAGATTGAGCTATTCAGACAGAGTGTGCATGTTTGGTGTAATACCCACGCATGGGTTCTTCTTCGTTTCATAAGTGGTCGCAGGGAGAGGTTTCTTGCGAAGCTTATGATCAAGAAGCAGTATTGGAGGCGCGCTTGTGGGTGCAACTAATGCGCAAGGATTCTCACCAACGTAGTTCAAACAAAACTCTAGGGGCTCTGAGTTTCAGCCAGAAGTTTAAGTGGCAGTCTTTGATGTGATTTCTAGCAGCTAGCATATGCTTTAGGAAGAACTTGTGGACGAACCTGCTGCTGACGAGCAGGCCGCTGCAATGTTGATGTAGTTACTTGCAACTTTGTTCTTCAAGCTAAACTGATAGACGGTCCAAACAAATGCTTAAACATCTTAAACAACTTTAAACATGGACCTGGATTTGTGACACTCCGGGACTGCGGCAATAAGAGGAGCAAGTCTCTGGCCAAATGCAAGACGAAGATGCTGTGGATGAGGCAAGGGTTGTTTTTTCGGTTCTTACTGCAAGTGTTGAGGCTGGGTTTGACCGAGGGTGCTTACCGGCCTGAGCGGCCAATTCGATGCTATGAGATCTCTCCAGATCTTTCAAGATCTTCGAAGTGCGTTTCAACTCGCTCGCGGCGCCGTGCACATTTTCGGACTTGGTGGCGGCTTTTCGCGGCAAGCGCAAGGGAACCCTCCTGTGTGGTCGAGATTTGAGCCGTTTTACTTCGATGTGCAGATTTCGTGGCAGGCACAGCACTTTGTCGACCTCGAAGTGCAAATTGTCATCAAATACGTGCTCTCATATATGTGCTCTCGTGTGTGTTTGTGTGTTTGTGTGTGTGCTCTCTCACGTGTGCTCTTTTATGTGTGCTTTCAAGCTTGTGTTCTCTCATGCCTGTTTTCTCAGAAATGAGGCCGCTTCCTTTCCGCGTCACCAAGCCCCTGAGGCCTCTCAAGTTACCAGTCGAGATAGTGTTACAAGATGCTACAAGTACTGTAAACGTGCGCATGCTGAAACAATACCACATTCGAAGGCACCGACTACATTGATGGAGGCATTGGACGTACCAACTTTAGCCCACTGAACATCTAAAGATTGCATACTCTATACTTTTCCTAAGGAAAAGCAGCCGTGAGAGAGAGAGAGAGAGGCTGCAACGTTAACAGAATGCATACAGAGTCATAGAAGCCAGAGAGAGGGAGAGAGAGAGAGAGAGAGAGAGAAAAAAAAGAACAAGGCGAACAAGTGGCGGCAGTGGCAACGGGTTGCATGACCTTGCGCAGGAGCCGCCAACATTGAACTCAAGGCCCAAGCAGGGATCACAAGCATTGCTGCCGGAAATTGGCGTCCTTCCCTCAGCTTCTGATGTTCCTCGGAAGAGATTGATATTGGACACATTCAGAAACCACAAAAGCTGGGGGTGAAGGCCCCGTCGCAAGAATCGCGGTCCATCCACTTCCGCCAACTCCGGGTTCAGTTGCTATCAGACGCCTCCACACTTCCTTTGTGTAAATCAATTTGCACGCTGCAATGACCTCCTGAAGTCGTTTGATGTTTAGAGTAACTATTGCTGTTTGCAAGCGCAGGTGAAGAAGCTCCTCAATGTTGTATCATAGAGTCCCAGAGGGGGGGGGCAAATGGACGCCCCGAAACGTGTACACTATCAAAAAAAATACCCTCAATCTTACCTCGAGGAATGCCGGGGCACACTCGCGCGGCTATCGGGGCTTACTCGACGATCGCTTGATAGCGCGCGACGGTTTGCCGAGCACCTACCGAGAGAGTTTTTTGCAATTTTTGAACCTCAAACCACTATCGACAGAAACTCGACGAGGGCGCTCAAAAAAGTAAAAAACATCAACCTCTACCAAATTGCCTCGATCAGGGTTTCGTAGTGTGTGTGGTCACCGAAAGGAAATTTACTCAAAGTAGACCAAAATGACTCAAACAGAACTAAAGGCATGGTTGCTTCATGTATATGCTCAGAACATTTCAAAACAAACTCATTTGTGCTCACCAAACTATCAACGCAACTCACCATCAGCTCAATCCAGCACTCAAGCCTGACTCCACCTTAGTTAGATAAAAGACTGACGTCGGTGTTGTCACATTGCTTTTGGAGATGGACTAACCGCCAAAAATAGGATTTCTATAGAGAATGCGTCCGTTTCTATGCGCGCGGTGCCTCGACTTCGCAGCAAGAGGGCCATGATCGAGTTTGCATTGACACACAGCACAATCATACAACAAACATGTTTCTAGCACCCATCTTCTTCAAAGTGACCTCTTTGGAGTGCCTAGGTGACCTTTTACAGGCCCAAGTGACCTCAAACAGGGATATCAAAAGATCACTTTGAAGAACCAGGACCTTCGAATTAAGAAAACAGCCTCCAGGACTCCGTGACCATAATTTGACAGTAACTGTGTGACATGTATACAGCCTGAAGCCCGACAAATTGTATCCTCAGTTTGTTCCCAACCCTGAATGTAATCAGGACAAGTCCAGGCAATCAAAAAACTCCACACGTATGTCACAGTACACGAGATATTCCTATGCCTGCCTGAACCCCTTTGCGGCGAAGGGTGGAATCAACACCGTATCTTGCAAAAAGGAAGACTTCAACAGGGTGTTTGCATCCGATGATGGCTTGAAAGAAGCTCAAGATCTGCCATTGTTACGGGCTCTCGTACTGTGGGGCTGCCCAAGGAGTGTCCTACGGTTCGTGAACTGAAGGACCATCCGATGAAATTTGTTGGCATATGGGCTTAGTAGTTGTGAGAGCGTGGGTGAGTTTGGGGTGAGCACGAGTTGAGGTCGGTTTGAGAACCTGCGAGCGCGGTTGAAACTTTGAGAGCAGGTCAGAAGTGGTAAAATAATGGTTTGAGTGAACACGTCTCCTTCCTGAAGGTGCCTCCTCCAAGCTTTTGTTTGCAAGTCAGTGTTTTCTCCTGATCAACAGGACAAATGGCGACCTGCGGGGTTCCATGCGAATAGGATCTCGGCAGCTGCGATGGCAGTGAGCGCTATGGCCTTTCCGGTGTATAAAGCCTTGGAATTTGCCTGGTTGGGTGCCCAGGTTGCACAAAACGCGTTAAAGTGGATATGCTGGTACGTCGCCGCAAATAGATACGCGAAAAATCACGAATCATGAACTCGGGTTTCTAGACCCGGTTGCCTGATGACCAAGCGGGGGGTGTTCTTCCACAAGCCCACCAAAACCTATCACATATCAGCTGATTTTCAGAAGTGGGCCTTTGTCGTATTGCCCTTGAAGAGGGTGAACGCTATTGCGGGGGATTCAGTGGAAGCCTATCTTGTTCCATCAGCCATCAAGAATCAAATTCATTGGAGAGTCATGGATGGCATCGACACCATGGGAGCATGTGCCTACAGCGATATGTCCTCCACGCTGTCTACCATGGCAATTGAAAGACAAAGCTTGCGCGCCTCAGTGTTGAAACAACACCTTTTTTTGCGGCGCCTACTGCCTTACTGTGCCTCATTTTGGTAGGGTCGGTATGATGGGCAGAAGTCTTGCGCATTGTGCGTGGCAGGCTGCAAAAATTGTTGGCCCCCATGGATCCATCCTGAATGCGGCATTGAGAGTCTTGGGTCAAAGAGCATAGGTTTTTGGTCCATATTTCACAAATTCAGGCAACCAATGATGTTGAAATCCATGAGCCTCAAAGGATTCTCATCCTGCACTCACGCAACACTCAATTCCTCTCAGTTTTTAGTAGATCGGGCGGTAACAGAATTAAGGCTACCTTTCTTAGACTTGTCCATCCTGAGCATTTCAGGACGGGGTGCGAAGCTTACGGTGGCAGATATCCGGCAGCTCCTCACATTGCTGCGGATCCCATTCCCGACTGAGGGAAGCGGAAAAAGGGGTGCTGTCATCAAGCAAGATCTGGCTTTGGCCCTTCTAAAAGATTGCTTCGCAGCTGCATTTTAAGACTTGCAGGGAAACTCGACTGACTTTGGTTTTCTCAGCCTGAGCCAAGGTTTCCCAATGAGTCCGCCGAGACCATAGATGAGATGATGGGATACCTCTTGGGCAAAAAAGTGCCAGCAAATGAGCACACAGCAATGATACCAGAAACTTACCTTCATGAGTATTCAACACATGCACTTTTGGATGTTGAGCGCCTACCGAGTAGAAATTGAGATTTGAAGCGTGCTAGGGCCTTAGTAGTGCCTGAACATAGGTTTCAACGGGGGGCAGGGCGTAGGGGGGACGGGTGCAGTTGCGCCATGATACCTTATATACCTGAAAATGAGACTTGGGAATATGTTTTCGGTTTGCGTCAAGACACGTCGGCAGAGTGTATCGAGCTGCTGGCTTCGTTGGACGACACTGAAAAGCCACACTTCAAGGCTGTTGCGCAGGAGGCTGTTGAGCAGATCAAGATCCAAGAGGATTTCTGGGATTGAGATTTTGTGTCGAAAGGAATGGAGTAGAATGGTATGGTCATGAACAAGATACATACATATATATATACTATGTTTTTATATATATATATGTATTATATATATATATTGGTTTTCTCTGTATATATCTGTATGTCGTCAAGCGACCTTGTGATCCAAGATGTGTCGGTCGGTCCGAGATGTGTTGGGAATGGCGAGTGAGAAGCTTCTACCCGTGCCCTTCTGGCAGGAAGAAATTGCTCAGAAAGCCGCTTTGGCAGCGAAGATTGTCAAGGATCTCCTGAAGGGCGGATCTCCGGAAGCGCCACCGCAGGGTGGTGGTGGAGGCGGCAGCAGACAAAGGAGAACGCCGATGGATTTCAAGCTGCTTCTGCCAAAGAAGGGTGCTGTGAGTGGAATGAGTGGCAAGAATGACAGGACCAGGAATGCATACTCAGTTGTGTATCCTTGTGCCCAGGCCGCGCAAAGATGTAACTCAATTTGCCTGTTTGAGACCCGGCTCCCCTTCTCAGACCCCACTCACCAACCACTCGACCACCACTCAGCCACCACTCAGACCCCCTCAGAACCCTGCCCAGGTGAGGGCTGCCGGCGTTGAGACAGTCCTTGAGTGGACATACAAGAGGTATAACCAGGAGTTTCCTGGCAAACCTGAGGTCAAGAGTCTTGCTCCTTTTTGGAACTGGTTTCTATGGTTGCTGTGAAATGTGTGTTCCAGTTCACTCAAGTGTCCAATCGATATATGATATTTTGTTGTTGGTAGAAGGCTTTTCCGGGTAAACATGTGATCTATGATGGTATGTGACTTAGGCCAACGGATGAGAAAATGCAGGCCTACATAGATTCCCACAAAGCGGACACGTGATTCTTCTGCACGGAATTCAGAATGTATTCAGGACGGCTACATCTGAAAGAAAGGATGCCAAACCTCCACACGCTCCGACAGTTGACTCTTTCCGAAGAGCGCCAGAACCCGGCGCTCAACAGTTGCCAAAAGTCAGATAATTGATGTCGTTTGTTCTGGTTCTCGGGTATGACTCAGAACACACCCAAATCCTACACTCAGTCGGGAAAGCCCATCAAAGGAGCGGGTGCAGTTTCTTTGGGCTGCGGGTGGGGGCCAACCAAAGAGTCACTTTGCTTGAAAGTGATCACGCGCACTCGAACACTCTAGGCAGACTCAGGGTCCACTCAATCTGCAAGTGATGATTCACCCGAGGCTTGCTTAGGGGCAACTCAAACACACTCTGGGCATACTCAGGCTCCACTGACAATCTCTACAAACCAACACACCACAGCAAACTCCGCTGATTTTTTGGTTGGCTGATTCCGCTGACCTCTTTTGATAAGTGGCTGGGTGGCTAGCTGCTCACTATAAATTCTGACTCTTCTGAGTACTTTGGTGGCTGGCTGGCTGGCTAGATAGCTGGTTGGCTGGCTGGCTGGCTATGCCATTTTTCAGAGTCTAACAGGGCATGAAATTCTCAAAGTGCTTCGAAACCACTCGATTGCAGCAATGCAGTTGAATTTGTTAAAACCCATTGAAAATCTCAATTCCCACTCAATACACCTCACACTCTCTCAGCACCACAAACAGGACCATAGTCTTAATTCCTACCAAATTCCACTCGATTAGCAATGGAGCAACGCTCGACACTTGGGGGCTTCCATTTGTCCCCCCCTCTGGGACTCTATGTTTGTAACTATACAAGCTGATTTAAGCATGTTCGATGTTCGCCGGCTTGTTCGCAGCCCTGCTTTTGGGCTTGATGTGCACGCTGCTTAGATCTGTTTGAGAAGTTTGGCCACGGGCTTGTCCACAAGATCTTGTTTTTTGCGTGCTTGGGCAGTTTGCCTTCTGACAGCTCCGTGCTTGTGGCGTGCCGTACGGAGGGTGTATACTGTACACTATAGACTATAGTCACTATAGTATACTAAGTAGACTATATATAGTATAGGTATAGATTTACGTTTAACCGTTTAAAGGTGTTCCTAGGCTCTCAACACATCTTTGCGTGAATAGTGCTCCTCGAAAGGTGCACACTGATGGACATCACTGGCTCCGGGGTCGGAAGGCACCCTGCTTGGAGAGCAGACTGAAATGTTGAAGGTTACTTTGCAGTTCTTAAACGGCGAGCGAGCGAGAGAGAGAGGGAAAGGGGAGCAAACACGAACGACTGTTCGCTTCGCAGGGTTCGATGTCCTTACTTCCGGATCTGCCGAAGGCGGCTTTGATGACCTGACCAGCTCAGCTTGAAAATCTATAAGCACACCATGTAGCTCACCTGTTTTTGTCACAACAGATCAGACTTAGCTGCAGGCAAATGAAAGAAAGTGCCAGACGTGTGAGAAAGTTCAGGCAGCCTTTGGGTTACCAAGCATCGTAAAGAAACACTACGCTGCGCAGAGTCAAGTCAATGCAAATGTTTGGTTTAGAGTTGTTCAGTGGTTTAAGGACACGTTCTGATTTCATTTGAGGTTCCAACGTCAGGTTTGACCTGCCCTTTCAACATGGTGTTGTGGTTCCTGTCAATCCGCATCCTGTTTTCAGTGGACTGTGGATTGCCTTTTGGCCAAGCAGGCACGTGGACGCTCAGCTCCGGCTAGTCGGAAGCAGCCGACAGAAATAAAGGCAAGACTTCGGCAGCAGGCCGATCATTTACATATATACCAATTTTCCCATTTGCAATGAATAAATAAGCACCGCGTATCTTTTGCGTTGCTCAGGATGCGAGATCTCAAGATGCGAGATCTCAAGCCAAAGTCACTCAGGCCGAGGCCAGAATGAGTGAAACGTGAAGCTTATATTCACAAAGCAAAAGGGCATAGAGTCGCCCCTTACCCACTATTCTTAATGCAGGAGCCCGCTCCGCAGCTGATGCAAGCTGGAAATCGAAAGGACCACAGTTTGGAGTGTTTGAGGAGTTCAAGTTCAGCTTGTTGATCCACGCTTGTTGGTGGCAGGGCTCCATGTCGCTGCTGCCAGAGCCAGAGGTACAATTCTTGTTCTTGGCAGAAGGGATCAACAGGAAATGAACATACAACCCGCAGGCTCCGAAATTGCCGCAGCAGGGAGTACAAGCTCCGAAATTGCCGCAGCAGGCGCAGGCCGGGTTCGCAGTGGGTGAACCAACTTTGGTTGACCCACTCGGGATACCCTTCTCGAAGCGCTGTATGAAACTTCACAGAGAAGGCCTTTATGAATTTGAGATCGACAGCAATGTAGTCGCTACATGTACATATTTCGGTGTCCGAGGTAAGTTTGGCCAGTGCAAGAGCTATTGCCCTAGCAGCTGAAAGGGATTGATTTTCCAAATATGCTCAAATCTTTGCCTCTGCATGGTTTGAGAATATGATACAATATGATACATGTGAATTGAATATATATATATATAGAGAGAGAGAGCTGAGAGAGAGAGAGAGATGTTATATTATATTTGGGGAGTCGCTCTATCACCATATGGAGGTCCTTGCTGTACTAAAGATGTACGAAACCACTTGCTTCACCCATACTTCCTGCCACGCGTGCATTACAGGTTTACCAAACACCTGCCACACAATTGCCTGCTCTTCCACGAGTCATTGCCACACTGCCAGTCTACTATTGCCACGCGTTTGCCACTCTTTTGGGTCTACTACCGCTACGCCTTTGCCACGCTTTTCATCAATCATTGCCACCCTGCCATTCTACTGTTGCCACAGAGTTGCCATGTTTTTTCTCTTTCATTGCCACGATGGTTGTTCTACTCTTGTTATGGTTATGATTACAGTATATCGAGTGGTACAGTGTTCCACAAAACGTTTTGCAGGATGTCAGCAGTCACAGTTGTGCGTGTTCTTTCATGTTCTTTCAATATGTGCATTGAGAATGGAGTTGCGTTGAGCGAGCAAAGAAAGGCTAAAGATGCGACCCAAAGAAAAGAACATGAACAGTTGACGCTCTTTCAGTAATAACAAAGCCTTGATATAGTATATAGTATAAAGTATAAAGCTCTAGCGTGGCAACATGCAAGCACACGTGTGGCACAAATAAATGTGACAACGGTAAGTTCAGGCGTGGTGCAGGTGTGGCGGAAGTAGTTTTGGTGTGGCAAGCTATACGCACCAACGTGGCACAGGTGTGGCAAAGCTGAGTTGTAAGTTAAGTTTATGCGTGGCATAGGTGCCCAATGTCCTGGACATCATACCCACAGCAAATCATGGTAGGATGACCCCCCAATATTATATCGCACAGATGTACATATGTACATATGACCTGGGATGACCTGCAGTTCTTCGGTCGGTATTTGCCTGCTTCCGCTTGCCAAGGCTCGTCACGTTGCTGAACCCAAATTCATAAGAACTGCCAGATCGAGATCTTCTTCAAGGTCTTTGCCACGTCGACGAGAGGCCGTGACTCATGCCGCATAGCACAGTCTGTGTGTGATGCAACTAGTTGGTATTGGCCAGGTGGCAGAGCGCCAAGAAGAAGTGTCTTTGCAAGAAGTGTCTTTGCGGCACATTTGGTTGCCATGAGAACCATGAGCCGAATCGCTTTGACGAGTCCCTTCTGGGTCAAGCTTACACTGGATGTGCCATTCCACGTGGACATGTTGAGTCAGAAAAATGTACAGTATGGTTTTGCACTTGATTTGAGGCGGCATCCATTGCACTGCACCAAGCCTCTCAGGCCTCTCAAGTCACGGTTCACAGCAAGTGCATGTTGATCACAACAACAAAATGCACATAGATAAGAAGTGGCCACGGGTTGCATGACCTTGCGCAGGAGCCGCCAATGTTGAACTCAAGGCCTAAACAGGGATCACAGTCATTGCTGCCAGACCTGGGTGTCCTGCTCTCAGCTTCAGATTCTCTTATGGCCACATAGTAAATGACATAGTAGAAATAGCAGCTTAGTGAAAAATATGAAACAGACAGCCCATGTGCCGGCATTACACTAAACATGTGCATTCTGTTTCACTAGTTCGGAGTCCATTGAACACCAAGTTTGGGTACCTTCTAATTTCATTTGAATCTAATTTCCCTTTTCCAGAAGTTGAGGCCGAAATTTCTTACGATCAGGAAGCAGTGTCAGAGGCACACTTGTGGGTGCAACTTGTGTGCATCGAGCGTCAGCAGCGCAGTGCAAAGGAGACTATGGACACTGAACTTCAGCCAGAAGTGCAAGTGGCCTGGCTGCGAGTTGTCAACGTGGTTGTGAAGCTCCAGGTGTTTGGCATTGCCACAGTGCCTGATGCAATTCCAGCATTTGCTTAGGAAGAGCACTTGGAAGAACCTGTGGAGGAGCAGGCCTTGGCCAGTTTCTTCCAACTTGCTGTTTTCAAAATGGTTGAGCAGATTTGAAGTTGAGTCAATTTCGCGAAATCCTGGAAACAGCTTTGGCCGGAGGAGCAAGCCTTCGGAGAAATGCCAATGGAAGACGAAGATGCTGCCAAAGAGGCCAGGGTTGTTTTTCTTTAAACCACTCACAAAGGTTCTCAGCAGGTATTGATTCCTGGCGAGCTT